GACATGGCTGTAGGACTAGGTCTATAAGATAATAAAGCCTTTCACTAAAAGAGTCATAATTTGGAAGAAAACATGGAGTTATGTTAAGGAAGTTGCTGATTAATGATTTCTCATTCTTTTCTTTAACTGTTTCTGAAGGGTAATTGTGCTTAAACCTCTTAAAATGAATTTTGATACCTTCTGGAGATTGGTCCCTGTGAAGATAAAAGAGAAAAATTACTCTGTGAAGCTGATGGTCGTACTGAAGCAGTTTGCTTACTTAAATCACAAAGCAAGCTGTAAGGAAGAAGAGCAGTGTGCGCTTTATAAATTAAACTTGTTTTTGCTTAAGTGTTTGTCTGTTTTACTGAAACAACACTATCTTTCTCTCTCTCTCTCTCTCTCGTGTTCTCCTCTTTCTCCAGTGTTTGTATGTGTGTATATTTTAATTGAACACCAAAATTGGTGATTCATATAGAAAATGGTGCTAATGAAATTAGCTGCCAGAAAGAAAATAGACTTCCACCTAGCCTTATATGCAAAAAATAAATAATGGGAACAATTAAAATACAATGTGTTTTCTAGAGAGAACAAATGGATATGTAGTCATTTCAGACATTGCCACTGTGTAAGTCAGTGCAAGGCCTTTTATTTTGCAGAACCTTTAAGAGTTCAGAATTATAGATCGATTAGTAGGCACTCATCAGTTCTTCAATATGGGTATGCTCCAAATGATTCATACTAGTTATCTCAGGAGGATGGGGTTTTAGAAAAATGGAGGAGAGAATTTTTAGACGTCTATGTATTTATTAGCTAAAATTTGCATGTGTTATTTGGGTGATAAAAGTAAATTCTTTCTTTTAAAAACAAATATAAAACTTGGCACTGGTGGTTTACACTTGTGATCTGAGCTTTTCAGGAGGCTAAGATCTGAAGCTGGTGGTTCACAGTCAGCCTGGGCAGGAAAAGTGGAAGAGACTTATCTCCAATTAACCACCAAAAATCTAGAAGTGGAACTGTGGCTCAACTAGTGACTCTAACCTTGAGTGAAAAAGCTAAGAGACAGCTCTCAGGCCCTGAGTTCAAGCCCTACCCCTTGTACAAACAAACAAATAAAAACAAATATAGTGAATTCATCTTAACTGCATGAGCTTTATCATTAAGGTAAAGTCACAACTACTTCCATCATACTTCTACTTTACAATCGGGTTTTCCAGGTAAACCTAAATATCCATAGTTCTTAGAAGGAAAATTACTAAATATTTACAATTAGTTTTCCAAGTCATTAAGAAGACTGTTTCCAAATAGTCAACTGGTTTTTTGTTTTATTTCCTAATCACACACACACACACACACACACACAATATTATACTTGTGTAATATACAGTATGATTTATGTTAATAAAAATTACATTAACATAAATATATAACCTATTTATATATAAATACACATTAACATAAATTTATACTAACATATAAATTATAAGCATCCCTATATATACAACACATATATATTTGGCCATCTTGTACGATTCAATATAAAAGATACATAAATATTTGATCATGAATAGGTTGAGTGAACAAATACTAAGGAAGAGAGAAAAATTAAGCACGTCTTGTATTCATGATAAGCCCAGGAAAAACAGTACCGGAGGATATGACACTGTTTGAATATATTTCTTTCTTTCTCTCAACTTTGATACTGGAGTACAGAAGCTTTTTTCCTTGTAGCCCTTGTGTAAAAGTGAATTCATGTTATTTAATAAGGAACATTTTCTCCCAAGTAATTTTTTTTTGTTTGTTTCGGTTTTTGGTTAGCAGCATGAAATAGGTGTATAGAACTGTGGTTAACCTATTTTTGAAACATTTATATCTAATAAAGGTAAAGAAGTTGGGTATAGGGCTGGGAAGGTGGCTCAGTGGTAGAGCGCTTGCCTTGCATGCCAGAGGCCCTGGGTTCGATTCCTCAGCACCACATAAGCAAAAAGAAAAAAGCCAGAAGTGGCGCTGTGGCTCAAGTGGTAGAGCGCTAGCCTTGAACTGAAGAGCTGAGGGACAGCACCCAGGCCCAGAGTTCAGGCCCCAAGACCAGACCCCTCCCCCCCCAAAAAAGAAGTTGAATGTATGAATTGGTATGTTTTAACTATGATTAATTTAAGAAACTTAAGTATTCTTCCTTTTGGTAAGGTAAAATAATTTGCCAAAGGATATAGTTTGGGAGATTATGCCTCAAAATGTAGTAACTGAAAGGAAAAAAAAATCAGCGTAAAGTGAAGGCAGACAAAACCACGTATGTGATATATGGTTAGGTTAAATGGAAAGCCAGACAAACATAGGGACAAAATTAATTATTGTTCTGTTTCCTCAGTAACAGTTTCTAAAAGCATTATTATTATTGTTAAGTAGTTATACTAAGGGGTTAATTCAGCAGATCAATCTATGAATACAATGTGCCTTGATCAGCAGTTTTAAGGAGTATGTTTATTGCTTTTCAGCCTCTTTTACCTTTCTAGGCATACCATGATCATAAGACATGCTTAATTTTACTTTTATTGGTAATATTTATTTACTCAGTTTATCCATTGTCAAAATTTTATGTGCATAGTCCTTTATATTAAGCTATACAAAATGGTTTGTAATGTTTAGGAAATAAAGCCAAATAAATGATGACTGTTTGGAGAAACAGCTGTGAAGTTGGAGAAAGGAACAAAATGAAAACATTAATAGATCACACATATAGATAATTTTGATACTTCATGTCTAGAAACAGTGCTATTGTAAATATAATTCTGTTTCATTGTAAATAGAGTAGCAGATGCAAATGAAAGCTATATTGATTTGGCTGTTTGTTTTATTACTGTCTCCATTCTGCAATTTTTTTTCCTGTCCTCATTTTTGACCTCTGTCTCTCTGTCCCATCCCTGGCAAACAATCACTCACTTTGTGGTATGAAGAACATAGACCTAGTTTGGAAGGGACTACAGGCTTTGCTTGTTAAACAAACTTCAGTTACAGGTTCTGTTTCTGTAAGTTGTCCAGTCTATTTAGGGATATGAACTTGTCTGTGCCAGTATTAAAAAGCAACTGTGCTTTGGAGCTTTGTCATAAGTTGAATCTGAGTCTAAACACCTAGGAATACCTATTGCCATTGGCTCCATGCAATTCTGTAATACTGTGTCTTGTAACTTTATTTTAATGGTTAACTAAAATTACTCTTTATTAGGCTCTGCATGAATATGACCTTCTTTTCCTCTGAGCTCTGTTGTAGGGCAAATGGATATGAGTTCTATTTGTCATTAAAGAAAGCTTTATTTACTCTGGAAAATGAAGCCAATCTTTCCAGACTGACTTAGGGAACACTAGATTCTGCTGGTTTAGATGCAAATACTCCAGGTATCCATGTCCTGTTTTTTCATTCATGTCCCACTTGAGAGCACATAGTGTGTGCCTATGGTCATACTCATAGTTGGAGGGAGAGACCCTGGAAACAATTGCTGGATTGGTTGGGTGGAGAATTCAGGGTTCTGCATACTTCTGATATGGAGAAAGCATTTTTTTTTTTAAATGGGACAATGCAATACACTTAAGTAACTTTAAACTTTGTGGATCCATGTTAAAAAAAAAAAAGTAAAAAGAAACAAGTGAAAATCATTTTATATTTTTTCATTTAATCCAGTATATAAAATTACTACTTTAAAAAGACAAGATAGTTTACATTGTGGGGGTTTTCTCCCTAAGTTTTTGAAATCCTTAATTTTAAAATCTGAGCTCTGAAAATGTTCTGGAATCTGAAACTTTTTGACTGTTTGTTAACAGGACACCCAAAAATGCTTGGAATTTTGGAGCATTTTGGGTTCAAAATACTTAACTAGTAAAGTTATACTAATGTTCCCAAATCTGAAAACCCCTCAGACCTGGAACACTTACAATTCCAAGTATCTTGGCTAAAAGATAATCCACCAGTACTTATAGTTGGAGAACATCTCAATTTGGACTATTTCAGGTGGTTAGCTGCTTCAGGTGGTAGCTTTATAGCTATAAGGAATATATAGGTAGTTTTGTTCTGCAGGAAATTCTAGGTCTATGGAATAGAGGGTTTTCCTCTTTTAAGTCCATTAGTGTTTTTTCATTGAGTTAGTTGCCATTTAAAACAAGAGAAACATCCATAAAATGAATGAGTTGTTGGTGTTTTGTTTTGTTTTTCTCTTTGAGGCATTTATTGTCCTTTGTCCTACCCTGTTTCCATGTAAGCTTGTCTGTTTTACACTTTCTATTTACTACTACTTCTTAGTACTCAGCAGTGATAGAGTTAGTAAATTTGTTTGCATAGATTAATTATACTCGGTTCTGTTACTGATCTATATTTCACCAAAAGATAATTTTCTACTTTCCACTTTTGAGTAATTACTAGTTTTGAAATCATCCTTCTCTGCATCTTCCTAAAAGTAATTCCTTCCTAATTTTCAAAAATTTAAAATACAGGTCTATATTTGCCATCCAAGTAAAATAGTTGTTAAGTAATGAAAGGGACAACTGGGAAAGGGCTATGGTGAAATAAGAAGAGCTTTTCACCAATGGTGAAAAGTGCTGGATTGAGATGGAGGAATGATCATTGGTTCTAATGTTTAGAACTACAAAATCCTGACTGACTAAGAGAAAATCAAGTTTTGGTTATTTGTTCTTATTTCAGATAAGCAGAAAATTTTGACTTGTCTGAGATAACAGAAGAACTAACTTCCCAGTACTGCCTACTCTCTGGTCTCCTCACTCCTGTCATTTACCTGGGTGTTAATTATGTGAAACTGAGATACTGCTAAAAAATGACTCCAGTAGAACTCACCTCTTCAAATACTCAACCTCAGAGAGCAATAAGTGTGTTTGTAATGTGTTTATATTTTACATAAAACACTGGCCATGATATCAAATGTATAGTTTGGTAGATGATCTCTGAAGCTGTGCTGAAAATATGTGGTTTTATACTTCTAACATTTGTTTCTTCTGTTTGTGTTTTATTGTGATAGGTTCACCAAGTTGAAGAGTCTTAACCTTTCCAATAATCACCTAGGGAACTTCCCATTAGCAGTCTGCAGTATTCCAACACTGGCAGAGCTGAATGTATCTTGCAATGCCCTTCGAACAGTCCCAGCAGCGGTTGGAGCTATGCACAAGTGCGTAGTTTAAATCACATTGTGGGGGAATCCAACAGAAACCTCAGGAAAAGGTGTATTGGTTCATAGCACATTTTGTTGATCATATCAATCTTGGCCTCAAATCTAGCCACCAGGCACCCTGTGATATGTGTTGAAAGTTCATTAGTTAAGAGTTTAGCTAAACTCTTGCCCTTGTTTTGAGCCAGGCACCAGTGGCTCATACCTGTAATCCTAGATACTCAGGAGGCTGAGATCTGAGGATCATGGTTCAAAGTCAGCCGGGGCAGGAATGTCTGTGAGACTCTTACTTTAATCTATCACAGAAAAAGCTGGAAGTAGGGCCATGGCTCAAGAGGTAGAGTGCTAGCCTTGAGTAAGAGAAGCTCAGGGATAGTATCCAGGCCCAGAGTTTAAGTCCCAGGACCAGCAAAAAAACAAAAACAACAACAAAAAATAACCCTTTCTTTGATTTGAAGTTCCCTGTGGATGATTGTGCCTGAGCATGGGAGAATTACTTTTTTCGTTTTCTGAGTTAGATTGAATTTTAAGACTTAGAAATTAATTTTAAGAAATAATAAAGATGGATATTTGGGCTGGTTCTCACTGCAGTTAACTAATGTTGCTTCTATTTGTGCCTATACAAGTTGAGAAAATTGATCATAATTTCCATTTCTAAGAGAAGGTTATAGTGCTTAATTCTGATCTGTTTTTACCATGTCTATTACTGCTCCCAGCCTTATCTTTATGCATTCTGTAAAATGTACATATTTTAACTAATAGGATCTTTATGGGAGTATAGATAATAAAACTGTGTATTTCTCTTCTCTGTATAATTCTTAAATTTTCTTTAATAGCTTGCAGACTTTTTTGTTGGATGGAAACTTTCTCCAGTCCCTTCCTGCTGAGTTGGAGAACATGCACCAGCTCAGTTATCTTGGTCTTTCATTCAATGAGTTCACTGACATTCCAGAGGTACTGGAGAAATTGACTGCTGTGGATAAACTTTGTATGTCTGGAAACTGTATGGAGACCCTTAGGCTACAGTCTTTAAGAAGAATGCCTCATATTAAACATGTGGATCTAAGGTAAGTATTTTTGAGATATGTATCCCATCAGAATGGTTGGATTATATTTGTGGAATAGTTTATATTCCTTTTGGTTAGATTAGTCAAAGGAAATGAGGCAGGTTAGTTAGTTGACTAGTGCCTAGTCCAATTTCCGTTTAGAGGGAAAAATACTGAAGAATAGTAAGGTTTGATCTACCATGAAACTTGTTCTAAAAAATTGTCATTGATAAATGTCTTATGTCTTGAATGAGTTGTTTATTTTAACTGAGTTATAATTTATATGAGTGAATAAGGCCATTGAATCAGCACTATTCATAGTGAATGAAAATGGTAAAATTGGAGAAAGGTGGAAATTTTTCTCTTAATCTTTCTTAGTTGTGGCTTATCTGAGGAATTTAGCATGATTAATTTCCTTTGATTTTCCTACTATAATGTAGCAATTAATTATACTTAATTTCACTTCCAACCCAGTAGCTTTATCCTTCCTTAGTTTACTATTCTTTTTTTTGGGAGGGAGGGGGGAGGTCGGTCGTGGGACCTGAACTCTGGGCCTGGGCTCTGTCCCTCAGCTCTTCAGCTCAAGGCTAGCAGCAATCTTATTACTTGAGCCACAGTGCCACTTCTGTTTTTTTCTGCTTATGTGGTGCTGAGGAATCGAACCCAGGGCCTCATGCATGCAAGGCAAGCACTCTACCACTGAGCCTCCTTCCCAACCCATTTTACTATTCTTTACACAAATATAGACCAAAATTTTGGCTACAGCCACAAATCAGAAGCCTCCTTGCAAAAACAGAAGACTTGCATTTTGTATATGATCACAGTAAACCCCAACTGCAAGCAAAGATCAGGCTTAGTTTCTAATGCATGGAGAACCATTACAGAAGGACATTTCATAAAATTTCTCTTTCTAAGGAAGTAAGAGCCTATCATTACTCAAGTTCTTACAGAACATCATTTAGAGGTTACCCCTTAATACTATCTAGTCCAATTTGATACTTTTTCAACAATTAATTCTCCTACTACTTAAAGATCGATGCCTGCTTCCTAGCCATGTTAAATCTTTGGTAAGTTATTTTAATTTCTGTACCTCTGTGTTCTCATCTGTAAATTAAAGTTAATAGCAGAACCTAATTCAGAGTTGTGGAGAGATATGGAGTTAAATTGTTTAGCACTCCCAGTACTATTAGTACTACCTGACTGAGAACTCTTCCCCTCTCTGAAACCTGCTTGGCTGACCTGGCAACTTTGCACTCTGTTTGTCAAAGGTGGGTCTGTCCTTGCTTCACTATCCACTGTCCTTTCTGTGGCTAACCACAGGCCCTCACTCATACTCTTCCAGAGTCATTAACCTAAAGTAGTATCATCCTTTCGTTCTTCTCTTCTCCTTTACTGTGGTTTAACCTGTAGAATTCACACATACTGCTCCCACAAAAAATAGTTTGACTTTGCCTTTCCACAGAATGAATGAATCAGTCTTGTCACTAAAAATCTTAATTTGGGAAAGTGTAATTGTTATCATTTATCATTATTCTGACTTTGAGAACCTTTCAGAATAGGAGCTGACACATTTGTCTTGTTAACTTTCTTTCAAAACTGTTATCATGATTTACCTCTGAGTCACTTGGATTTTGAAACCTATCGTTCCAGAAATTAAGTTCTTAAGAGCCAAAGGTGATAGGTTACAGTGATCTCAGGTACAAACATGAAATGATTTCTCTTACAGGATACTTACTGCAAGTAAAAAGAAATCATTCTTCCTGATCTGGCTTAGCTTTATTAATCTGTCTAGAAATAATAATTCTTATAAAAAAGTATTAGAAATTCTTCACGTTTCTAGTTCTAACTTGTGTCTTTTTAAGTTAGATATAAATGACATTAGATATGTATATGGTGGGTAAGTATCAGAATAGACATTCAACATTCTATAAACATTGAATGATTCTGAGTACACCTCAAAGCTAAAGAGGGAAAAAAAATCTGATCAGTTTTGTGTATAATTCTGCCCTAGTACTTTAATTTGATTCTAGTGGAAGTTATTTAAGGAGGAGTTTTACTTAGTGTTTCTAAGTGAAAGACTAATGTTATTGATTGGATTTCCTTCACCAGATTTAAGTGATTAGTTTTCTTTTATTCTTTTCCTTGCTTTTGATGTTCTTTGAGTCTGTTATTACCTCTTTGGCATTATTAACTATCATCTCCTTTAGTGCAAGTACTGCCCAATTCTCTTTCCTTAATCTCTGTCTGTATTTTCTGCCTTCATGGTTGCATGTTCTCTGGGCCTTCCTCTCTCACCTTTTGTCTTGATGCTAATTATTCCCCAATATTTCTCCTAGTTCTTCTTTATCACTTTGGGACCAGTTTCATTTCAGCTGCCAGCTGGAGCAGTTCTCCTTGCTTTTTCCCTATTGACATATTTAACCAAATACATGTGAAACAGCCCAGTTTGTTTCTTTACTCAGCCAGTTGTTTTCTTTTTTTGCTTATAGTAATACCACTTCATGGTTATCCCTACACAGAACTTTTGGTTATACATCTTATCTACTAGATTCAATTAGTTCTTTCATACCACTTTCTCTCATCTCTTCTTTTCCATTTTCATTGTTGCTCTTGTCACCTACTTGAGCCATTTATTTCCTTTGGTCAGCCTCTCAAGCAGGCACAATCCTGCTCAGAGCTGTAGTTCTCGCGTTCAGGGCATTCAAGCATACATATTTGCTTTCTGCTCATTAGCATACAAGGGTGAGGCTCTGTCTTAGGGTGCTCAGGTCTGGTCCTCCAGCCTGAGCTGGCATGCCACATATTTGCCACTTTTCCACCGTGTGTAGAAATTGAGACTCATTTTTTAGAGATGTGTTATGACTTGACATTATCACAGAATCCAAGTGCTTTTTTAATAGATTCATCTCATTGTACAGGGAACTGACTAGTGGGGGCATTGTTAGACTTGCATGGTGAGTCATATGTAATGTAATCTATGTACAGTCCTGTGCTACAGGAACGTATGGCAGTCTGTAACAAATTAGAAGTTTAGAAAATAGCTCTATCACCATAGATAATTTGAACATTGCTCATTTATCCTTGAGCCCCCAGTACTAGCACTTTGTAGGAATAGTCCTTGATAAATATTGACTGATTACTCTACCTTCCTCACCATATGACCTCTCGCCTTAATCCTGCACTTAGGCATCAACTCTTCCTGTACTCTTCTTTTCAGTACAGTCACCACTGTGGACTGCTTTTCTTCTACCATGCATATCTTAAATTCAGTTTTACTGGGGAATTCAGATGTTTCCTTTTCCACAGCATCTTTTTTGAACATTCTCTATGTTCTTATGTCATTATAGCACTTAACCACGTACTTGTACTTCCTATATTGAATGTTTTGAAGTATGTCAGATTCTCAAACATTACAAAATCATTTGAAAAATACTTACCATCACTAAGCCATCAGCTGTCATCATTACCATAGCCCTTCACATTTTTACACAGAACTGTCATATTTCTCAGGACAAGAAAGGTATTTTCCAAATTTCACAGATGAAATGAAGCTCAGAGAGTTAGATGGTTTGGTCATGGTCATCTATACAGTGTTAAGCAGACATCTGAGGCTAGAACGTAATATGCAGACCACTACTGCCTCAGTGAAAGTTTATGAAATAAAATGCTTGTATGGAAGTGAATTTTCATTCCATTTTATCTCTTAAAAAGTATCATAAGCCAATCACCTTGGCTTAAGCCTGTAATCTTAGTTATTTGAGAGGCAGAGAGTGGAGAATCAAAGTTCCAATCCAACCAAAACCTACCAGTGGCTCATACCTATAATCCTGAGGAGGCTGAGGCTGAGATCTGAGGATCACAGTTCAAAGCCAGCCCAGAGAGGAAAGGCTGTGAGACTCTCACCTCCAATTAATTGCAGAAAAAGCTGGAAATGGAGTTGTAGCTCAAGTGATAGAGTGCTAGCCTTGAGCAAAAGGAGCTGAGGGGTGGCACCCAGGCTCAAGAGTTCAAGCTCAGGATCGGCCAAAAAACAAACAAGTTTTAGAGTCTCAGTTCTCATCCATGGCTGGATGAGATGTCATACCCCTGTCATCCCAGCAATTCTGGGAAGTATAAATATGCGAACCACATTCCAGATTGACCCGGACATAAAAATAAGACCTTATCTTGAAGAGTAACCAACCTCAAAATGGTTAGCAGTATGTCTCAATGGGTAGAGTGCTTGCCTAGCAAATGTGAGTCTCTGAGTACCCTCCCACCCATGATTATCCTAAACAGGTGTGTTACTGGCTGTCCTCAAAAACGTGTGATATTTAAGTGTTGGCAATTTAAGGTAAACAGTATGAAGGTAACTCCTCTTATCTTACATTTTATTTTGTCTCCTGCTTAGACCATTACTTTTATTTTCATTGTATTAGTACAGTGAAGTGGTGTGAATCGATGCTATTTTAAATGAAGATGATAATACTGTGTAGGAAGATATTGAAAGTGTAGTTTGGGGAAAACATGGAACATTTTTTAGTTCCTGCTGTCTATTGTCTCCAAGATGAAATTCTTTTTTCCTTCTGTGTACACATTCTACTTATCTAGTGAACATTTGGAAATAGGCAAATTGCTGGGTTGAGGCCAATTTTTAAATCTTCAAGCCTAGAACAAAAAATAAAAAGAGCCAGAAGACATCATCTTGTGGACATTTGAAGAAGCCATATGTTGGCAGATTCTAGCTCTATGCTGTCACTCATCCTTGTGTTTTGTGCTACCACTCTCAATAATTTATTTACATTGTTTTATTTTTTTTTGAAGGATAGAAACTCATCACAGAGAATGTTCAGTCTTTTCCTAAACTCCATCCAATAAGTATCAGTTCTCTTCAGTTAAAGGATCTACACGCTTCATTGGCTTTGTAATGAAAAGTAAAGAGGGGCTTTGTTATTACTATTATTTTTTCAATTTTCAATTTGCTGATAGGAAAGGAGGATACCAGTAGGGGAGGAACCCAAAGGCGTAACTCCCCTGAACATTTAAAATACTATTAAAATGAATTATTAAAACGAATTCCAGGAAATGGAAACATGGATTATTTTATGTTGGTGGTACTGTGTGTGTATGCTTGTCCAACTCCCCACCCTACCCCCTACGTGCCTTTTTTTTTTTGGCTTTTTAGGGAGGGTAAAGGGGATCACAGAAAGGGAGGGAGGAAGGATGAACAAATGCAGTATTCAGTATACATGGTATTCAGTATACACTGTGAAAGTGAACTGTGGAACTTGGGGCAGGGATGGGACCGGGAAACTGGGAAAGAGTAAAGGGGTGACATTGTCTAAAAGAGAAACATATATATTACCTGAATTATGAAATTGTAATCCCTCTTAGTATTAACATCTTACTAATAATAAAATTACCTTTAAAAAAGTTTAGTCATAGTCCACTAAACTAAGGGTTAAGATTTCATCTTTATTCTGAAGAAAAATTTTAAGCTAAATTTATCTTTGTTATATTGGTTCCTAGTCCCTGTTACTAGTTGTCTTGTGGCATGTTACCATATCAACTTAAGTCAGTTCACTGGTTTTCATGCCTAGTTTTCCCCTATGTCTTATTCTCTCCTAGAATTGATGATCCTAAGTGGTGTCTTTCATTTTAGTGAATGCTAAATGCCCATTTTCAATATTTCCTACTCTTTTCTCTTTGATTTAGTATTTCTCTTTGATTTAGTAGTTCACAAATAGAGTTAGCTTTAGTTGTCAGTCCTATACTTACCTCCATCTCTGTTGTTCCCATTCTTTGTACTACTCATTCATTATTTGTTTCCATATTGACCTCTTAATTCTGTATTCCTTGACTGTTCATCTCTCTCCTTCCTTAAAAATTCAATGAAATTGCAATAGGTTTAATACCATTTGTTTTCCTTTGTCACTACCTAATTCTTTGGAGATAGATGCCTAAATGGATTTTTACTTTCCTTTTGAAAATGAATTAAGATATCAATATGCTTGTTCTTCTTCCAGACTTCATGGTTTAATATGTTATGAAGTCTCAGACCTCTTGGAATTATAACTAAAAATATCCATCCAGTGAATCTGGCCAGTTAAACAAGGCCATATGCTGAAATTAAAGAAGTTAAGGAAAACTAATGCATCACCCCAGCATGTTAGAGTGTAGAAAATTGTTTATAGCATGCAGTTAATTGTAGTTTCTATTTATGTCCTTTTCTCTGCAAGACTGAACATAATTAAGAAGCTTGTATCAGACGAAGTAGAGTTTCTGCAACATGTTACTCAGCTGGACCTACGAGACAATAAACTTGGTGATCTAGATGCTGTGATTTTCAACAACATCGAAGTTCTGCACTGTGAAAGGAATCAATTGGTGACATTAAACATTTGTGGCTATTTCCTAAAAGCACTCTATGCCTCCTCTAATGGTATGTAACATGTGAAAATGTCAACATCAAAGCAGATCTATTTTCTCACGGCCATCCTCTCTACTTTACTCATCTTCATTAAAATAAGTGTCAGTTTTATCCATGATAACAATCATAAGGGCATTCTAGGTTAGTATTTAAAGAAATAAAAAGGAAGATTTTACTTGGCCATTTTTTAAAATACTATGGTATTTAGATAAATCATTTCCACATTGATCTGTTTTTCCTGTTAAAGTAAGGAGATATAATGAACTATTTGGGGAGCTACCTTGTTAAGATAGTAGCCTGGAACCTTTCTCTTTACCTGGTGTAAAGGGAAAGCCTGGTTTGGGCTCTGTTCAGGACATACAGTTTGATGTTCCATTCACAAACCGAACATACCTTAAGATAAACCTGAATTATGTATTTACCGATACCATAAAGCAAGAGTCTTAATCATCTAATAAGATCTCTTCCTCAGTATATAAAAATTGTGGTATTTCCAAAAAGAGCAAATGTCATATGGCACATATTTACTCAGGTGGAAAACTCAGTGCCCTTCAGTTAACAAACTGAATAAAAGCATGTATTATACAAGTTGTAATTGATTAACATTTATTAACTACACTATTCTTATTGTCATCTCACTGAAAAATTATCCAAACTTTAAGGTTTGGCTGAAAGATTATAGGATTTAGATTGCTGGAGCATATAAAATGGGAGGAAAAAAGATCTGAATGTCACTTATTTAGCAGTTGAGAGAGGACAGAATTGTGAATCTGTAGAATTAATTAGTAGAAGTAATTATAGAATGTATGGTTTGGAGTTAGATGATGAAATTTCAACCCTATTACAGTAAGCTATAAAGACACAAGGAAACGTTCTTAGGAGGAGACATGTGATAGAAATGATGTTTTCAGACTGCTAATGTGAAAGCAGTGTACAGATGCATTATGGGAGAAGAGTGAGAGTACCCGCTAGTCCACTATCTTAGGTTAATGAGATGAGCTTCCTGGGAGTTGTAGCCAGGGCTACAGATGCTGATTTTCAGTTCAACTACTCTGAGGTAGGTATTAGAAACTATGAATATAAGATAAATGGAAGGGAGAGGAGAGTTGGTACCACAAATGCATCTACAAGCTCCTCATAGCTGCGCAGAGTGCACAACAAGCTGACAAGCAACTGCGTGACAAGGGTTTAGCACAGCAGAACATTTCAGAAAGTTCCTTAATGAACAAAGTTCTTGGTGAACAATAGTGTAACATTTCATAAAGTTTGGAAGAAGAGTTTTCAGACTTGAATGAAGAAGTAATTTGTGGCTCTCCAGAGAGGGCTATTTCAGTAGAGTAAGGAAGGCAAAAGACAAGATCTCTTTAGTTTTATGGGTGGAAACCTGAATGTTAAAAAAAAAATGATATTCATTTGGGCAACTATTGGGATACAGTTTAGCACACTTAGAAAGAGATACACAATAATTGAATAGGAAAGTAGGAAATTGGAAAGAATGGCTTATTTCAACCCTTTCATAAAATCTTGTCGTTAAAGGTAGAAATTACCTTTACTTTCCTACAGTTTCAATGTTGGACAGTATTGTTGTTTCTAAATAAAATACACAGTAGATAAGGCACAATAATGATACTCTGCATGCAAAAAGTGTCAATTGGACAGTAATGTTTTTGTGGGTTTTTCTTTTCCTCTTAGAACTTGTTCAACTCGATGTTTACCCAGTTCCAAATTATCTTTCTTACATGGATGTTTCAAGGTAAGAAAACAAATCTCAGAGTATTAGTTCCAGGTCTACTCAGAAGTTATTTAAATGATTCTGAGTATATAAAGGGTTTTTTCAGGCTTTAGGGGTAACTAATAAAAGTGAAATGTAGTAGTTTTATTCTTTAAAAATATGATACACTTTTAGGAATAGCCGTTTCATGTTTCACTAGCAGAAAAGTTCACCTTAAGGTAAACCTGAATTTTATATCCACAGGAACACTGTAAAACAAACTCTTAACTATTTAATAAGACTGCTTACATCACAGCTCTTCTTCTAAGTGCTTCCTGTATTTCCATTAAAATGCATTGTGTACTGTAGTTTAAAGAAGAACTAAGGTATTATATTGGACATCAGTTTTTTCCCCTGTGCTGGAGTTTGAACCCAGGGTCACATGCATGCTAGGAATACATTCTGCCACTGAGCCCTGGAACCAATCTGGATGGCAAGTTTTGGGTTGAAAGTCTAGTGAGTTGAGGATCATGACTTGAAGGCCCAATAGCTTTTTGATTATATTAGTCATGTCTTATGTGTTTCCCTGGAATACTATTATTTTGTTTACCCCTTTGTTATTTTGTGCATCTATTTCCTTGCCAAGAACACTTAAAAAAATTACCATGTAAGCCTTTTCAATTACATTATTTCATTTTTTGGTAAACAGACCATTTTACCTTCTGTAGTATATTTATTCAAGTGGCCACATATAATAGATTTTTTCTAATGACACAAATATATGATTCTTATGTATAGCATGTATTTACACAATTTGAACCTCAATATTGTTAGCACATTAAAAGTGAAGCTTGTTTTAAGTAAATTACAAGAGAAATATCCCAAATTTTGAAACATGTGAGAGTCTGTGGCTCCTACAAAAGTAGCAACCATTAAGTCATGTCAATGTGTAAATTTCTGGTATGTTTGTTAACTGTGTCCCTACATTGTGATTACAACTGCAGTGTGATGGTTCATACAAAGAATTTTAGTTATTTTAATAATACACTGAATCATAGTTGTGTAACAATATTTAACTATTGGAAGAATTGCTACTATTTTTAAGTTTATTATAAAATTATATTTATTATTCAGTACTTATTACCAGTCATGATAGGATCTTGGAAACTGTTGTTTTTTATTTTTATTTTTTGGATGGGATGACTTTTAATTACAACCTTTGATCTCTGTCTCCCAAGTAGCTAAGATTATAGGCTTGAGCCACTGCACTTAGCCCATTTGACTGTTTAATATAACTGGAAGTATACGTGGATTTGATTTGCTTGCCTGTTTATTTCAGTAGACAACACCACTCTCTAAACTTGCATGGGTCCATATGCCCATTCTGGGAACTAGAATTTCTTAAACTTGAAAGATGATGCAAATGATGTGTTTATGTTCTTTCTTTATTTTTCCTGTTGTAATTCATCTTGTTTGTAAAATAATGCATGTATTTTTTGATACATAAACTCAAAGTTTTATTAGTTCTTTGTAGTTATTTAGAGCTTAAAACCATATTTGAGACAAAATTTAATTAATAATTTATATTTCTTATATTTAGGAACCACTTAGAAAATGTGCCTGAGTGGGTATGTGAAAGCCGAAAGTTAGAAGTTCTGGATATTGGCCATAATCAAATATGTGAACTTCCTGCCCGGTGAGTATTACAGATCAAGGTAGATAATGTGAAAATATAAGTGCAGGTAAAATGCTGATTTAGTATATTATAATGAACCCCTAAAAGAGTTTGCATTTTAAAAACTTGATCAGTGTTGTCTTGTCTCCATGGAGTAAAGAGTACAGCAAGGCTTAGATACTCAAGCAGATGGTTAAAAATTCGACAGAGCTGTTTGGTGGACTATTGTAAACAAAATAAAGGTTTAGAAATTTAACAATGATATGAGTGGTTCACCCCGGGAACTTTCTTTTAACATGTCTCTCTTACCCATAAGCAATTTTTGTTTTCTCTGGAGTATAACTTTGGTATTGGGGTATTGGCAGAACAATCAATCATTAATCTTTGGAAGAGCAAACTAGATTCTCTTTTTTCTTTGTTTTTGAAATTCAGAGTAGGAAATCCAAGACTTTCTCTTCCTTATTTTCCCTTACTCTTTGTTATTATTTTTTTCTTTATGATGTCCATTTTAAATGGAAGGACTTTCACAATAGCTGAAGGCTGGAATCTAATTTCCATCAGTATATAGACCTATTTTCAGGTTGACTAATTATGACACAAAGTATCACTGAGCCATTGGACTAGCCAGCAGTTTATAACCACCAGGGCTATCCTGTACCATCTTCAGTGATGACGGAACTGTTCGTCTGTGATGTCCACTGAGGTCCTCTAGCCCCTTTTGGCTGCTGAACATTAGGAAGAGAGCTGATGTGATCAAGTATATGAATTTTAATTTTGTCTAATTTAGGTTGTCACTCATGGCCAATGGCCACTCTAATTTAGATTTAGTTTTTGAACATTTCTAGCCAGTCACATAATAGAGAAAGTCAGTTATTTTGGTCAGTGTACAGTCTAATATCTCAATGAAAATACGGCAAAAGTATGTCACTGTTTTGTAATTTCTTAGTGAACCTTTGTACTTTAGCTGGATTTCTACTTTAGGTTGCTTTTACATCATCTTTACAGGTA